CTGAATTCAAATAGTCTCATTTTTTCTTAAATGTATTTTTTAAAGATTTATTTATTTATTTGAGAGCACCATGGTGGGGGGAGATGGAGAGCACCAGTGGGGAGAGGCGGAGATGGAGAAGCAGACTCCCTGCTGAGCATGGAGTGGGCCAAGGATCCTAGGACCCTGAGATCATGACCTGAGCCGAAGGTCACTGACTGAGCCACCCAGGCACCCCTCCAAAATGTATTTAAAGCTGATTGTCCAACTCAGGTTAGAACCCAGGGCAGCATGATATATCTGGTCATTATGCCTCTTAATTCTTTTCTGCTTTAGAACAGTTCCCCTCTTCTGTTTTTTTTCCCATAGCCCAGACTTTCAGATGAGCGGAGGCCAGTTTCCCACCCTCTGGACTTTTCTGATTGCTTCCTCATTGTATCACTTACTTTGCTGCCCACGTACCTTGTATTTCCTATAAACTGGAAATTAGATCTCAAGGCTTGAAGGATTTGAGTTAAGCATTTTTGGCTAGAATTAATATTAGATAATAGGAGACATTAATACCTGGGTCGCCCACTATTAAATCACTGGCTTGGCATGACAGTGTGATCCCTTCATTGAACAGCTAATTTTTCCCCTTGTAGCTAATGATGTAGTGTCACTTTGGCACTATGCGAATGGTTTCCCATCAACAGATGACAAATGTTTGATAATCCTTGTATGGGTCAACCATTTTATTAAGGGTTACAGGATGATTTTATAATTCTTTATTCCTTCTATTTTATTAACTGGCATTCTTCGTACTGAAGCTTTCCTTCATCACATCCGTCTCTTTGGTCACTTCCTTCTACGCAGTCATGCATGATTGATGCTTTGTTTTCCCCCTTTATTTACCAATGTTCAAATTCAAGAAGTGGTTTATTAGTCATCTTAAATGGCGACTTGAGATTTTAGGACGTTTTCTGTGTTGGTATCATTATGAACTTAGGAATTTATTTTTTTAAAGCTTTAATTTATTTGAGAGAGAGAGAGCATGGGAGGGGAGGATAGAGGGGAAGCAGACTCCCTGATGAGTGGGGAGCCTGACATGGGGCTCGATCCCGGGACCTGAGATCCTGACCTGAGCCAAAGGCAGATGCTTAACCAGGTGAGCCGCCCCCAGGCACCTCTGGACTTAGGAATTTTTACTGAGTCAGTGTGTTTCAGCCCCCTCATTAAAAATCCATCCCTTATTCCTCACATCTTTGGCTTGTGTGGATGTCTTCAGTCTTGCTCCTAGCTCTGTTTTGCCATGGCTCTATTAATTTTGACTGCTTGCTTTTGCTTTTTGAACAAAATAACTTGTTTTAGGCTCACCTTGTACCTTCCCTATACCCAGATCTGGTATCAACCATTTCTGAAGGAGCCTTGGTTCTTGTTAATAGAGAATGCTATTGGAGAATAAAGTCTGGGTGTTAGGGGTGTTCTTTATCACATAGGTAACCCTGCTTCTAGGACATTTCATGGGCAGAGCTAGATAGACATTTTTTCCTAACAAACATGAATTTATATTGATGTATTCATTCTGCTTTACCATTACGTTCCATCACTGTTCTGTATTGTATTTGGTTTCTTCGTTTTTTTTTAAATTCCTTTCTTGTGTTCTCCTTTGGTTTGTTTATTCACTCAGTCACTTATTTACTTATGGTTTTAACAGTTTATATCAAAGGGGATCCCAAGAAGCACAAGGAGCAGGAATTGAGACACTAAAGGGAGAAAAGCCAATAAAGTGTGCATAAATGAGCAGGCTATCTTGGTTTTGTTTTTTTGTGGTATTTTTTGTTTTGTTTTAAGTAGGCTCCACGCCCAATATGGAGCCCAATGCTGGGCTTGAACTCATGACCCTGAGATCAAAACCTGAGCTGAGATCAAGAGTCAGACACTTAACGAACTGAGTCACCCAGGCACCCCATTTTTTTCCTAACTTTTGAGCTGGGTTGATTTATGTATTTTCATTCTCCTGTTTATTAATATAAGTATTTGATGCTATGAATATTTCATTGAACACTGGTTTAGATGAATTCCAAATGTTCTGAAATGTAGTGTTTTCATTATTATTTCCCAGAAAATCTGAAAGTTTCCCTTCGAACTACCAACTGTTGGAGTTTAAAATTTACAGATGAAAGAGCTTGTTTTCTGATTTTGTTTTTAATTTATTGTGATCAGAGAGTGTTTGTGTTATTCCTATCTTTTATAATTTATTGTGGTTTTCTTATGACCCAAAAGATAGTTTTCATTAATGTTTACTGCACGTCTGAAAAATTCTATTTTCAGGATCAGACCTTGACATACATATGTATCTACAAGATTGAATTTATTGATTTCATTTTGTAAATCTTCTTTTATCTATATTTTTCTGGTCCATTTGGTGCTTTTCAGACACAGAAAGGACAATTAAAGTCTATTCTTTGTTTTGTCTGTTTCTTTTTATAGTTTCTGCTTCAGGAAAGTTGTCACTCTGTTGTTTTCTGCATAATTATTCATATTGTTACATCTGCGTTGCACATTGTGTTCTTTATTTTAGCATTTTTAAGTAGTCTTCTTTGTCTCATTTCATGCTTTTGGCTGAATCTCCCCTTTCTCTGAAATTGAAATCTTGATGCCTTCTTTCCTTTTATTTGCATTTGCTTAATATATCCTTATCCATCCTTTATTCATAACTTTTCTCAATCATTATGTTGTATATATGTCTCCTGTATGTATAATAGAGTTGAGTTTTGGTCTGTGATCAAATCTAATGTTTTTTTTAATGAGTTAAGCCATTTGCATTTATTGATATGGCTACTAGGACAATTACATTTGATGTTAACATAATTTTCTTATGTTTTTTGTTGTACATGTCATTTATACACATAAATATATAAATACAAGTACAAACATGCATAGGTGCATACCTTCGTATACGTACATACACATATATGTATGATTTTCAATGTATGGTTTGTTTTCCCTCTTTTTTTTTAAGATTTTATTTATTTATTTATTTAGAGGGTGGGGGAGCGACAGAGGGAGAGAGAGAACCTCAAGCAGACTCCATGCTGAGCATGGAGCCCGACAGGGGACTGATCCCAAAACCCTAAGATTGTGACCTGAGCCAAAATGAAGAGTTGGCTGCTTAACTGACTGAGCCACCCAGGCACCGTACTTTTTTTCTATTTTTTTTTTAAGATTTTAATTTTGGGACGATTGGGTGGCTCAGTCGGTTAAGCATCTGCCTTCATCTCAGGTCATGATCCCAGGGTTCTGGGATCGAGCCCCGCATCGGGCTCCCTGCTTAGCGAGAGAGTCCGCTTCTCTCTTTCCCTCTGCCCCTACCCCCACTTGTGCTCTCTCTGTCACTTGCTCATTTTCTCAAATAAATAAAATCTTTAAAAACAAATAAGTAAAGATTTTAATTTTTAGTAATCTCTACATCCAGCATGGGGTTCACACTCACAACCCTGAGGTCAAGAGTTGCATGTTCTTCCAGCTGAGCCAGCGAGGCGTTCTTCTCCTTTCTTTTTCAGTGTAGTCGTTCTTATGCTAAGCAAGCTGTGTATGTTCGTAGCACTGGTATATCAGTTCTTCACTGCTGCTTAACGAACTGCCACCAAGTTACTGGCTTCAAGCTGCACACCTGCGGCTCCTGTAGCCGGAGAGTCTGGGCTGGCTCAGCCAGGCCTTGTGCTTCCGGGTCTTTGACAAGGTTGCAGTCAAGGTCCCAGGGCTGAGGCCTCAGATGTCTGAGTTGTGATTAGGGAAGGATCCACTTCCAACCTCACATGGCTGTTGGCAGGACTCACTTCTCTGTCAGACAGAGGGCCTCAGTCCCTTGCTGGCCGCTGGCGGGAGGCCACCCTTAGTTCCTTGCCCCATGGGCTTCTCCATATGGTGGCTTTCTTTCTTTTTTTTTTTTTTTAAAGATTTTATTTATTTATTTTGAGAGAGAGAGAATGAGAGAGAACACATGAGAGGGGACAGGGTCAGAGGGCGAAGCAGACCCCCTGCTGAGCAGGGAGCCCGATGCGGGACTCCATCCCGGGACTCCAGGATCATGACCTGAGCTGAAGGCAGTCGCCTAACTGACTGAGCCACCCAGGCGCCCAGAGATCTTTTTTTTTTTTTAAGATTTTATTTATTTATTTGAGAGAGAATGAGAGAGAAAGAGAGCATGAGGGGGGGAGGGTCAGAGGGAGAAGCGGACTCCCTGCCAAGCAGGGAGCTCGATGCGGGACTCGATCCAGGGACTCCAGGATCATGACCTGAGCCAAAGGCAGTCGCTTAACCGACTGAGCCACCCAGGCGCCCCATATGGTGGCTTTCTTCATCGAAGTCGGCAAGCCAGCAAGGACGAGTGTCAGTAGAGAGTCCACTAGCAGGATGGAAGGTACAGTCTTATGTAATCACAGAAGTGACAGCCTGTCAACTTTGCCACACTCTGCTGATAACTCAGCCATGCTTTTTTCTTTCTCACTTCCACACTGTATTACTACCATTCCTTCCACCTTGACTAACCTCTTTCTCCGAACCTCTAACACTAAGAGAGGAAACAATATCATCTGTTAACATCAACCTAAAATAAAGATTAACCTTTCCAGCTGTCTGTCTCTTAAGTTATTTTTGAGTCATCTTTGCTCCTCAAGTTGTGTGGTCTGTGTTCGGATGGTGGTGTGAGGACTGACAACATGACATTAGGCATGAAGCAGGAACTTTGTGAAGAAGCAGAACCATGTGGGAAGGGGTCTGATAAACATGATGGAACTCTGTCTCAGCATGCCAAATGCACAGGAGACAGTGAGCCTAATGGAAGTTTGGAAACGTAGGATGGGGGTGCCACAGGTAAAAAAAATACATGTGAAGAATGTAGGAAAACCTTCACCTGGATAAGAGGCCTTCACATGCATAGGAGGATCCACACTGGGGAGAAACCGTACTCATGTACAGAATGTGAAAGGGCCTTCATCAGACATGCAGAACTTACCCAGCACCAGGGGCTTTGCAGCATGGAAAGGCTTGTCACTGTAAAGAGTGTGGCAAAAGTTTCAGTCAGAAAGCAGGCCTCTTCCAACATCTCAAAATCCACACCAGAGAAAAGCCATATTGGTGTACTGTATGTGGCCGGTGTTTCCGTCAGAGATCAGTTCTTACAAAGCATCAAAGTCTCCACACTAGAGAGAGACCTTTTGAATGTGTGGATTGTGGTAAAGCCTTCTGCCCACAGTTCAGACCTCACTGAACATCAGCGATTCCACAGCAAAGAGAAACCTTACAAATGTAATGAGTGTGGGAAAACCTTCAGGCAATGTTCACACCTTACTGAGCATCAGCAAATTCACAGTGAAGAAAAACCCTATAAATGTAAAGTGTGTGGAAAAGCCTTCACTCAGTATGCAGGACTTAACCAGTACCAGAGAATCTATACTGGAGAGAAACCTTTTGAATGTCCTGTATGTGGACGAGCCTTTAGCTGGAGCTCAGAACTCATAATGCATCACAGAACCCACTCGGGGGGAAAACCCTATGAGTGTGCCGAGTGTGGAAAAGCCTTTAGCATGAGCTCAACCCTGATCATACATCAAATAAGTCACACTGGAGAGAAGTCCTATAAATGTGATGAGTGTGGTGAAGCCTTCAGTCAATGCTGCTCAGGTCTTAATAAACACAGGTTGGGAGGGAAGCACGGGAACCGCCCCAAGCCAAGAAAATATAAGTGTGACGAGTGTGGAAAGACCTTTACTCGGTCAACTGGCCTGCGGAACCATAAAAGAATCCACACTGGGGATAAAACCTACCAGTGTTCTGAATGTGGGAAGGCCTTCACAAGGGGAGAGCATCTTATCGAACACCAGGGGATTCACAACAAGGTGAAGCCCTATGAGTGTAGAGTGTGGCAAAGCCAGTCAGAAGACAGGTCTGAGTCACCATCTCAGAATCCACACAGGAGAGAAACCTTTTGAGTGTTCCAAATGTGGGCGGGCCTTCAGTTGGAAGTCAGATCTCAATAAACATAAGAGAGTCCACTCTGAGGAAGAACCCTGTCAGTGCGAAGAGTGTGGGAAGGCCTACAGGCAGAGAGCAACGCTGTTCCAACATCTGAGGGGCCACACTGTGCTAAGCCCCAGCAGCAGAGTGAGCAGAGTGGAGCCTGCATGGGAACTCGGCCCTGATCAAGGGCCAGAGAATCCACAGCAACTGGACACCTTGCCCCGGTGTTAGGTAACAACTTCAGGAAGAATCCAGGACTTTTTTTTTTAACTGAAATAAAATGTTTCTTGGACTTCATTATTTAAAGAAAATCAGAGATGCCACATCAAAGAGTTTTTATAAAGGTCATAATGCTAGAAAAGTTGAGAGTTTAGAAAAATAAATATCAACAAGAAACTCACCTGTGATTACTTTTACTAAATGCAATGAAGTATTGGTTAATACGATGAAAAAATATACAAGGGCAGCTATAAAAAATATTTTTCTACTGAATTCATGAGTTTTTATGTTGTTTTTTCAAATCATTTTGATTTTTTTAAAGATTTTATTTATTTGAGAGAGAGAGACAGAAATAGCAACAGAGATAGAAGAGAGCATGAGGGGGGAAGAGAGGGAGAGCCCCGACGTGGGGCTCAATCCCAGGACCCTGAGATCATGACCTGAACCAAAGGCAGACACTTAACCGACTGAGCCACCCAGGTGCCCAAAACCATTTTGATTTCTAACTAGCGTTAGCCATTCCCAGCATTGAAATTACTACTCTGGGAGTGCCTGGGTGGCTCAGTCGGTTGAGCGTCTGCCTTCGGCTCAGGTCATGATTCCAGGGTCCTGGGATCAAGCCCCACGTCGGGCTCCCTGCACAGTAGAGAGCCTGCTTCTCCCTCTCCCTCTGCTGCCTCTCTGCCTACTTGTGCTCTCTTTCTGTGTGTCAAATAAATAAATAAAATCTTTTTAAAAAAAAAAGAAAGAAAAATTACTACTCTGAGTACCAGTCAAGGACACTAGAAAATCCAAATTTGGGATGTGTGAGCTGAGTTGTCTGTTTCTCACCCTACCTAACCAAGCCTTTGACCAAAAGTGAGTGGTCTGCAGACCCTTCCTGATCCCCACCCCCAGAATTAGCATTTCCTGGTGAATAAAGGATGTGTTAAAGTCTTACTGATAGGGAGAGCAGAAGGGCATTGGCCTCCAGAAGCTCAAAATCTAGTGGGGCCTTTATGGCGAAAGCCCAGGGCATACTTTTCTCCTTGTGAAAATACTCCTTGAGCTCACAACTGAGAAGGACAAAAGGGAAGAGGGAAAACCAAACCTTTCATTCCAGCATTTTCACCCTCCTACAAATTATACTTACACAACTGAAACCTCTTTCAGCTTCAGCACTACCTATGTTGTGAGGGACATGATATGAAGTTCATGGTACTTTTCAAATACTGGAAGAGTATTTTCTCATTTTTTTGTGCTACCCACAACGTAACAGCTACAGATGTGACACGTTTTGAAGTGTAATGTGCATAATTAACATTTTCTTCAACACCTTCTGAAATCTAGACAGCCAGCAAAGGAATAATCTCTGCTTCTCCTTTGCTTTGATGTTTGCATGATGTATCTTTTTCCATCCTTTTACTTTCAGTTTACTTATATCATTAAATTTGAGGTGAGCTCCTTATAAACAGCATATGCTTGGGTGATGTTTTTAAATTCAAACCCCCAATCTTTGTATTTTAATTGGAGGATGGAAATGATTTCCACTTAATGTAATTATTGGTATTTTACAGCTTAAGTTTGCTATTTTTTTTCCTTATTCCCTGTATTGCATTTCTGTGGTTTCTCTTCCTTGCCTTCTTGTGGGTTACTTGAATATGTTTTCAGAAGTCTGTCTTGAGTCATCATCATTGTCCTTGATAAAAGCTGTTACTTTGAACTGGCTTTCAACCCACATATATTCTACACATTTCTCTCCAAGAAATACATCAGCTTTTGTTAACCTAATTTGAGAACAACCCTAGACGATAATACAAACATTCTAAACAGATATGGGGGATTAAACAGAGTTGTCTTCTTACCAAAGTCTGTATTAGTTTTTTGTTACCTGTTAAGTCCTATGTCTAATGAGACCCAGCAGGGCGAGTCCTCCAGAACATTTTGAGCTAAGAATGGCGGAAAGCAGGACTCTTGTTTTATTCTCAGTATATCTCAGCACTTTAAACAGTACCTGACAAGTATTAGTTGCTCCGTAAATATTGAAAGAAGGAAGGGGAAGAGGTTCCTGGGCCCTGTGCAGCTCTGAGTTAATTACCAGTGGCTGAGGCCAGAGATACACAAGGAGCTGATCCTGCAGCTGCTGGCGTTAAGGGGTTCTTGACCATGCTGCCTAAGGAGCTATCTGCCTAAATTTAAAAACATAATCCAGGTGAAACGATACCTTTGCTGTGGAGAAATCTGGCAAACAACACTTTAACCAGGTAGTCAAACAACAACTAGAAACAGGATGAACTGATACATGACTTCTGATATGATTGCTTCACTGAGGACACATCATGACTTCTGTGGTATTTCTGGCGAAAATGTGTAACCCGAATCTAATCATAAGGAAACATTAGACAAACCCAAATTTGGGGTAGAGGGTTGGCCTGTGTTCTTCAAAAGTATCTACATTATAAAAGAGAAGCATTGAAGAATTGTTTTAATTTTTTTTTAAGATTTTATTTATTTATTTGAAAGAGAGAATGAGAGAGAGAGAGCAGGAGAGGGGGGAGGGTCAGAGGGAGAAGCAGACTCCCTGCCGAGCAGGGAGCCCGATGCGGGACTCGATCCCGGGACTCCAGGACCATGACCTGAGCCCAAGGCAGTGGCTTAACCAACTGAGCCACCCAAAGAATTGTTTTAGATTAAAGGAGATTAAACAAATATAATAACTAAAGTCTGTGTAAGCTAAGGTTGGATTCTAGATTGGAATAAAATTTATGTAAAGAATATCATTGGGACAATTGGTTTAAAGTAAACAGACTATACGTTCAATAACAGCATTGCATCAGTGTTCAGTTTCCTGAGTCAATCCTCGTTTTGTGGTCACAAGACAGAAGGTCTCTTCTCTCAGAAGGTACTTGCTGAAGTGTTTTGGGGTGAAGATTCTTTGTACTGCAGCACTTTTTTTGTTTTGTTTTGTTTTAGATTTTATTTATTTGAGAGAGAGACAGCAGGAGCTGGGGAGAGAGGGAGAGGAAGAAGCAGACTCCCCGCTGAGCAGGGAGCCCGTTGAGGGTCTTGGTCCCAGGACCCTGGGATCATGACCTGACCAAAGGCAGACGCTTAACCAACAGCCACCCAGGCGCCCCTGCGACACATTTTCGAGGGGTTTAGTGGGTTAGCAGGTAATAGCAGTAAAGTATATGTGAAGGAGAAAACAAGCGGCAAGCATTAATAATAGGTGAATCTAGGGAAAAGGAGTATAGTGCTCGTTCCATTGTTCTACAATTTTTTCTAAGTAAAGGTTGAAATAAAAACAATACTTATACCAAAACAAACCCAGAGAGTGAATATGAGGTATTGATTTTGACTGGAAAATTGTGGAGAGTAAGTGAGGTATATGCTGTTCGTATCTCAGTACAGTGAAGGTTGGGGTGTCCCCTGAGACAGCGTTAGTCTTCTTTATATTCTGCACTGAATTGACAGCTACACCGGAACACGTAAAATTGTTCCCATTTAAGGAATTCTCTCATTGGATCTCTTCCCACCAGAGGCCAATTTGTGCTCAAGTATTTTATTGTAGCATCTCCACTTTCTACTGGATGATCATCGAGCCTCTTTCCAGACTCGGGCCTCCTCTAAGGTGAACTCCTACGCCACTTACGTCTTAGATACTGAAGTTCTTCCAGCGACAGCTCACCTTGCTAGACATAAGCTCTAAAATCATGCAGTTTTAGAACTGGGAGAGATCCGGAACAAAATGCACTCCTTTTCTCAAGCCTCGGTTAGGTGCCGACACTGTGCCAACCATGTAAAGGAGTTAAAAAAGCTCAGGGGCGCCTGGGTGGCTCCGTCGCTAAGCGTCTGCCTTCGGCTCGGGTCCTGATCCCGGGGTCCCCGCCTGGGGCTCTCTGGCTGCCTCTGTCGCTCGCTCGCTCGCTCGCTCGCTCTCAGGTAAATGAAGTCTTTAAGAAACAATAATACTGAAGGAGGTTGAAATGAAAAGGTCGAGAAGCAGAGACCCGCTTGGTGCGCGGCCCCACATGCGCTGCGGGAGAGGCAGCGCACCGAAGCGCCCTGGGCCCCGACCACACGCGTGGTTTGTAGTAGCTTCTCGGGTTCAGCGGGCGGCGGGCCTGCCTCCCCGGCGCCCACCCCCTCGAGCGGGCCCGGGAGACGCTCGCCGGCAGGCCGGAAGGGTCCGGGCTCCGGGCAGCGACCTCCGCCGGCCGCCGCGGCCGGCCCTCGGAAGCGCCCGGGAGTCGGGCTGGGGCGACCCTGGGGTTGGGCGGGGGGTCGGACGGCGGCGCCCGCCACCCAGACGCGAACGCCTTTCGATGGGCTGTGTGAACGCCCGCGTCCCGCGCTGTGCGCGGAGGTCAGGAGCTGGGCGGCCGAGACCGGCGCGCCCCCTGCGGAGGTGACCCTGGGGTCCCCGGGGGCGCGTGGGGGCTTGCCGCGACACCACCCCGCTGTGGGGGCTTCAGAAGGCGGGCCCGGGAATTACGGGAGCCTGCGGAGCGGCCCCCGCGCCGACGTCGGGGAGCCGGTCGGGCGCAGTGGCCTCGACCCCAGACCTTCTGCGCTGTCCCGGGAATAAGGCGCAAGCTGAGGCTCGCAGCCGGGGGCCCTTGCTGGCCTCGGGGCAGAGGCGGGGGGCCCGCGGCCGGGCACTTGGGCACCTGGGGCGCCCCGCGGGCTTGTCCAACTTACTGGTTTCGGTTGTCCGTAAGGCATTTCGACAAAAAGGGTGTTAGACCCCTCGCTCAGCTTTTCTTGTCAGCAAAGTTATATATCTCTGTTCCCCTACTTACACTTTCCATGACCATTTTATTAATTCCGCTTGTGCTGGGACCCTAACATCTGGCATATTCATGCAATGAAGCAAAATCAAACATATTATAACTTTTTATTATGGATATTAAAAAATAGTTTTATTAAGTAAACTCTGTCCCCAA